ACACGTGGCCATGCGTGGCCATGCGTGGCCATGCGTGGCCATGCGTGGCCATGCATGGCAGTAAACTCCGCCACGCGTGGCAGTAGACCCCGCCACGCGCGACAGTAGACCCCCCCACACGTGGCAGTAGCCCCCAACCATGCGTGGCAGTAGACCCCGCCACGCGTGGCAGTAGACCCCGCCACCCGTGGCAGTAGACCGTGGCAGTAGACCCCGCCACACGTGGCAGTAGACCGTGGCAGTAGATCTCGCCACGCGTGGCAGTAGACCGTGGCAGTAGACCGTGGCAGTAGACCCCGCCACGCGTGGCAGTAGACCGTGGCAGTAGACCCCGCCACGCGTGGCAGTAGACCGTGGCAGTAGACCTTGCCAGGCGTGGCAGTAGACCGTGGCAGTAGACCGTGGCAGTAGACCGTGGCAGTAGACCCCCCCGCCACGCGTGGCAGTAGACCGTGGCAGTAGACCCCGCCACGCGTGGCAGTAGACCGTGGCAGTAGACCTTGCCAGGCGTGGCAGTAGACCGTGGCAGTAGACCCGTGGCTGTAGACCGCCACGCGTGGCGGGGTCTACTGCCACGGTCTACTGCCACGGGTCTACTGGCGGGGTCTACTGCCACGCGTGGCGGGGTCTACAGCCACGGTCTACTGCCACGGTCTACTGCCACGGTCTACTGCCACGCCTGGCAAGGTCTACTGCCACGGTCTACTGCCACGCGTGGCCTACTGCCACGGTCTACTGGCGGGGTCTACTGCCACGGTCTACTGCCACGGTCTACTGCCACGCGTGGCGAGGTCTACTGCCACGGTCTACTGCCACGCGTGGCGGGGTCTACTGCCACGGTCTACTGCCACGCGTGGCAGGGTCTACTGCCACGGTCTACTGCCACGGTCTACTGCCACGCGTGGCGGGGTCTACTGCCACGGCCTACTGCCACGTGGCAGGGTCTACTGCCACGCGTGGCAAGGTCTACTGCCACGGTCTACTGCCACGTGGCGGGGTCTGCTGTCACCGCCGCCACGCGTGGCAGTAGACCCCGTGGCAGTAGACCCCGCCACGCGTGGCAGTAGACCGGCAGTAGACCCCGCCACGCGTGGCAGTAGACCCCGCCACCCGTGGCAGTAGACCCTGCCACCCGTGGCAGTTGACCCGCCGATGTGTGGCAGTTGACCCGTGTAGTTGACCCCCGCCACGCTTGGCAGACCCCGCCGCTCGTGGTGGCTGACCCTGCCAGACTCGGCAGCTAACCCCGCGATGCGTGGCAGTTGAGCCCGCCAGATGTGGCAGTGGAGACCGCACACACAGTCCCAGAAGGTTTTGGGAGCTCTCGCAGTGGACACGTGGGGGTTGTGGGATGTTCAACTTTTGGGCATTGCTAGCACACGTTCCAATCACCGTCTGGTCACCTTGCAACCACCCTCCAGTGCTCCCCCCATGGCTTTGAGTGGGGGCTGCCACACTGTTATGTGGTGGCCGGCGTTCCCATCCAACTGCCGACTCAGCTGCCAGGGCCGATGCCAAGACTGGGGTTCCAGCCAATGCCAAGACTGGGGTTCCAGCCAATGCCAATTCTTCTAAACTAGTTTCATGTCAGCTCAAAACAGAATTATATATCTTAGCTTACTTCAAAACAATTCTTTTGAACCAATTCATTTGATTTCATGGAGGTGATTTCATTGAACTCCTATTTTTGTGTTGGCGCGCGTTTTACTCAGTGTACTATAGGCGGAGCAAATCAAACAACAAATGAATATGAATAACATCATGTAAACTATTGATTTGCCAAATGGCTGACAGCGGGCAAGTGGTTGAGCACTGACAAGCACAAAGGGATTGCATTTTTCAACTTTAGGAAGCTCACGGTTTAACATGTGAAATGCTTCTGCCTCTCATCCTGATGCACTTTGTGAAGTAACCCCAAAAACACCCTGCACTCATTGCGGTGAAAAAGGAAAGCCATACTAGCAGCCGCTGGTCAACCCAATCAAGTTGTTGAGCCTCAAACTGCCACAAACCAAAGTCAGCCAAGCCACATGTAGCAACAACAAATTCATGTTTTTTTTGAGCGCGGGCTTGTGAAAATAGAGTCAGTTGTGTTGAGGGACTAGGACGTAGGATGTAGGCGAGAGTGGAACACAACATGCAAACAAATTGTGAAACGATGTGGCAAAAAGCAATGAAAAAAGTGTGGCAGAAGTTTGGCAACAAAGAGGCAGAAGAGTGTGGCAGAAGTGTGGCACAAGAATGACAGGGGTGGGGCATAAGCGTGGCAGAAGTGTGGCGCAATCGTTCATTTTTTCCAAAGAAACGGGGTCGGCATCATGGAGGAGAAAGTATCTAAGTATAGGGCTGGAAGCACAAGAGGGGGCAAACAGCATGGCAGCAGTGACTTGGAAGTGTTTCAGTAGGCGGTGGCAACACGGCAGACCGCGTGGCAGTAGGCGGTGGCAGCAAGGACTTGGAAGCGTGGCAGTAGACAGTGGCAGCAGGACCAAACATGTGGCAGTAGTGCTGTGGAGCAACCCAGGATTCTGACAATTCCAGGCACAGGGAAGGGGTCAAAATCATGGTAGAGAAAACACCTAAACCTACTCCACGGTGACCTCCGCCTCGACCTTCTGGCCCGTCTGAGCCGGTGGACCGAACGACTGGGGAGCTGTGGTCGGTGCTGCTTGATCACTGCATTCCGTAGACCCAACTGCAGGAGCGCTGTGAGGCACTTTGCTAAGAGCTGGGCGATCTGCCACCGCATCTTCCACCACGTTCTCTTCGACCCAAGCCGGCCAGTCTTCTGGTGGAGTGGGAGGATCTGCGTCCACCTCTTCGATCGTCGCCGTAGAGAAATTGTACGATCGCCTGGAGATCTCCTCATGAAACAACTTGGGCGTGAGCTGGGCTGTGGACCTTGCAAACCTGCGATCGCAACGGGCACGATCTCGTTCTGCATCCACAACGTGACCACGCTTCCCTTCTTGAGGATGTTTGGTTGCAAAGGACCTGAAGTTGAGCTCGTAGTTGGCTTGCTGCCGAACTGGCACGATCTCTTCTGATCCCTTGGAGCCGCTGACCATGTTGGCGACCGTCTTGGCCGAGCTCAACCATGCCTCCCCTGTCAAAGAGGGGGGACCCGCGAGAGCTTTCACAGCCTCGTCATGCTGCATCTCTGCCAGAGCTTTGGTTGGCACGACCTCTGGATCACGCACCAACAACTTCGATCGAGCCTGCACGTGGAAGTTGCCCTCCTCCATGCCGGGGATGAACACCACCATGCTGCCCACCTGATCCTCGCTGTTGGCGATCGACGATTCCCACCAAGTCTGATGAATGGCGGCGAGCTGCGCGAACTGCTCGGTCTGCTCGGGACCTTCAACTCGGAGCACGATTCTCCCTCACCGACTGGATGGTCTTGATCAGAGTCGGTCCGGAGATGTGTGACACGGTGAGCCATGTCCCCGGGACCGAAGTTCTGGAGCACTTCAGGTCTATCCTGTTGTTGGAGTCCCTGAACCGGAACTCCACGCGATCGGCGTCATTGCCAACTGCGTCTGCTGTAGACCTTGAACAACACCGAAGCTCAAACCGCGATCGGGCAGAGTCGCCTGCGACCACGGAGCCATGGGGTCCCACAGAGTAAGTGCGACCACCGCACTCGAAACTCAGAACAGACACCCTATAGCCGATGAACACGGCGATCACCACCGAGAGCCTTGGCTTGCCTTGCTTCACTTCTCTGATCAAATACTCATCAACGAACTGTTGCTGAACTGTCAGATCTGTGTCTGATCTGAAGCCCCTGAAGATCCAATGGAACAGGATCTCATTCCCGTTGTAGATCTTCACGTCCGTGTAGCTGGCCGAGGTGTCCCTGAGCATAGGCCACGTGAAAGGCTGAAAAGCCTGGTGTGACAGAGCTGATGCTGTCTCTCCATCCCATCCAGCGCACGTGGTGCCAGTCTCACTCTCGAGCGAGAGCGCCAAAACCACCTTGATCCCGTCCAGTGTATAGTTGGCAAATAGAGCCACTGAAAAACCTGAACTAGGCGGCATCACTTGGTCTCTCTCCGTGAGAACATTGATGGAGCTGGCAGCGTTAGACATGATCTCTGAAACAAGCCAAGCCTGAAAAGGCGACACCATCCTGTCATCGCGGTTGTCAACGACCACGATCGAGGTGTCCTCAGGGAACTTCTGGCCCTCGTAGATCGGCACGAGGAACCTCGGCATCTTGACCTCGTAGGGATTGTGGGCGCTGTTGGTAGATCTTCCGTAGCTTTGCCCCCACTGATCGTCTTGGGAGCCCCATCCACCGTCAGAGCCGCGAGCGCCACGATAGCTCGGCATGGCAAAAGAGCCGGTAGAAGGGTTGACCACCCAGGCCCACAATTCCCAAAAGAGATCGCTGATCAGATCTTGAGCCAAAATGGCACCAAGATCTGATCAGTGCCAATGACTCAAACGGGGTTGATCAACCCCACACTCTGTGATCACAATAAATGAATTTTCAAAATTCTCATCACTGAACCCGAACGGGTAAATGAAAATAAAATAAGATCAAACGCAACCAGTGCCACGAACTGTAACATTGATCCACTTATCCCTCACCAACCAACCGTAGATAAGTGACCACATTTATATTTATATTTATACTTCTATTTATATTTATACTTATACTTATATTATATATTATATATATATATATATCTATGTGTGTATGTATATGCATGGTTTGGCCATATCTTCTAATCTACTCTCCATATCTCTCCCACTTTACCGGAGTAAAATTCAGATTTGTGGGGTTCTAACTCAAAAGGCAACGGAATTAGAGGAAATTTCTGCAATATCCATGGAGTATTGTGGGAATTGGAACGGAAATAAATGGAAGGGTGTGACCATTGCGTTTTCCCATTGCGTTTTCTCTGGTGAAGTCATATTGGCTCTCATATCGGCCTGGCCATTTTAAAAGCTCCAATCTTCAGAAGCTCAAATTTTCCTTGCCGAGAAACCTCGAGCTCATCTAGGGTCATGCTGCCTGAGCAATCCTTGTCTATGATGGTGAAGACGTGAGACCTCAAACGGGTCACTTCGATGACTCAATGGCGAATGGTCAGATATTGCCCCTATTTCCAAGGGAAGATCCGAGAATCTGTTGAAAACTGTACGTTGTGTGGCCCACATCAATATATAATAAAAACAGCTGGGGGTGCATCCTAATCTGACCTTTGAGTGACCTGCGTAACCCAATGACCGGCGTAGACAGATCTGAAGATTTCTTCCCTCACAAATTGGATCAACATGGATAAACTAAGTAAGATCAGTGAATGAAGAACGTGTTTCCTCTTGAATGTTCATCATGCACTGCATTAATTAACATTACTCAACATGATGTTCATTGGATGTGCATTACCGTTGATTAATGTCGATTGTATCATGTTGATTAATGTTAATTACATCAATGAACATTGACATTAACATTGACATTAAGTCATTAAGATTAACATTAACTATAGATCACCTACATCTATTGTTCCTCCATTGGGATAATTCGTAAGTCCGAAGGGCAGGTGCTCGCGAATGTAGGTCGCTTCATGGGAGATGGCCACGATGTCCGGATCACGAGACAAGGCTTCCATGGCGCTGTTGCAAAAAACACCCGTCCTGTCGCGATGCGACGAAGTGTAGAACGAAAAAGTGGATTCAATTCATGGGACCCGGGACCCACTCTCATCGAAAAATCGATGAGTTTAGGATTGAAAGCCATGACTTGGGGACTTGGGGATCCCCCATAAGAAACCCCCCATGAAATGATCCAAGAATTCGGGATGGGCGATGGGAGAGTAGTTGATACAATGGGGCTCAAAGAAAATCCAGATTTGCTGCCCAGAATGATCGCATCAAAGCGGCAAGATGTTGAGAAGCGCAAAGTAGGCAAAAGATATAAAGACCTCGGTCAGGCAGGTCTTTTGCAGATTGAAATGCACTGGCCGCACGAGCGCGAAGGATTCAAACTCAGCTTTCACCTGTAACAGCGTACCATGGTCTATTGTCAAAGTATAAATCTAAGAATGCATGAATGCAGGAAGGAAGGAAGGAAGGAATGAAGGAATGAAGGAAGGAATGAATGAATGAATGATAGTATATGATATGTGTGTGTGTGTCTGTGTGTCAAAAAAAACAAGCAGATCCCAGGCACAATGAAGATCTTGCCCATCATGGCATCCAGCTGGTTCAGCGGCTCGTAGACCGTCTGCCAGTTGAGGCCTCCCGAGATGGCCATGAAGCAAGTGGTCATGGAGGTCCACAAGTCACGCCAGAAGAAGAGCCTCAGCTGGGATCTAAAAGCCATAGAAAAGCAATAAAAAATGCCAAAATCACGGAAAAACAAAGAGGGTCACCCTGCAAAGGCCTGGTTGGTGTTGCCAAATGTAAGCAATGTAAGTTGTTCCCAAAGCTCTCTTTGGCGGCTTGCCCTCTGAAATCAAACGGTTCATTACATGGCTGCAACATTCTAATGGATTTCACCGGACCATTCGTCCAACCTTTCTAGTCTATTGTAAACCTACCAGGGATGAATGAATCACACACGCCCCACACCCTGAGCATGACTTTACAATGTTCACAAGATCTCCGGACAGGAGGCAGCGCAGGGGTCTGTTCCTCGACCTGCTCAAGGCCCTCAAGGATGATGAAAGATGCCACGGTTTGCGCAAAGGCGATGGACACCTCAGAAGCTGGCGGTTCTACTGTGCCATGGCAACATGCCATGCAAGATCAACCCAGCTCATTTCATGATTTCATGTTATGTCCAATCATATCACATCTTCCTTTATATCAATATCATAGCATATAATATCATCTTGTTCTACCGCTTCCTGTTTTCTATCAGGTTCCATCAGGTTGCCATGACCCTGCGCGCTACCTGAAACACAAGTCCCATGCCAAAAGCCAGGCGTGTTCAGGAATCCGCAAGTTTTTCTAGGAACCCGTGTCGTTCGTTACCACATCGTCTGGATTCGTCTGGGGCTGACAAGGAGCAGTGTAGATCAAGAGAAGTAGCAACACTGCCTTGGTGTCCGATGCCAGGCGCATGACAACATGGAGAATGCGAATTGAAGTCTGCGAAGTCTGCGCCAAGCCACGGCCCACACCAAGTACCACACGGTGTGAGAGATGGATGACACCTGCACACTTTGGAGGATATCAATAAGCTGCAAATCTCTCTCTCCATCGGAGATAGCTGGAGGCTTTCACCATCACCAGAAATTCCAAACCCCTTAACGCAAAGCCACAGACACATCGCTGGTATGTTGATGTGCGTTAAGCAGTCACTAACGTGTTTAGCCCCGGTTGTGTTTGGAGGATTTTGCCCGGGGCACCAAGGTCTGCAATGGGGCCACGTACTTCATCAAGGAAGGAACACGCAAGGCTCGAAGAAGGCGGGTGACCTGAGGAATCTGGGATATCTACAGATGGCTCAGTGGGAGATGTGTCACAATATCTTGGCCTGATCCTAAACTGATCCAAACTACAATACAGATTGATCAATACAGGTATTGCGGCATTCTGTCCCTTAAACCAATTCTGGGAACCCTGTGGAGCTTCTGCAAGTCAACAAGTTTTGGGGGAGATTGTCACACACTAATGTGAAATCACACAAGGACTGCTCCCTTTTGGGAATGCAAAATCATCCGGAGCTGCATGAAATAGGTAAAAAGGAACAAATTCCCTCAAACTAGCGGACCAGTTTGTGCCAAATGAAAATAAATAACTGCACTCTATATATAGATATACATCTCATGATATGAGACATATATAGTAAATCTCTTTTGTCACGCCCAAGAGCCTTTCAACACCAGGGTTGAAATGCCGCGTTTCTTCGTCTCGTGAATCTCGTTTCATTCCAGCTCCGTCTGCGCATCTTGCGCACATTTCGTCCAAGACACGCGCAGTATCTTCAAGAGTCGCACTTGCGAAAAGTCGGGCAGCGTTGTCAGCGCAGTACCGAAGAAGCTGAGGATATCCTGACCCACCAGCAGTCAATCAGCATCAAATCAGCCCAGTATGTCGTTTACCTTGACCTATCTGCAGTGACACTATGTGACACTGGCGTATAAAGTCACATCTTCCCGGTTTCAAGCACGTTAAACCTCAAGCTGAGGCTCGAAGAAGACTTCCGCCGCAGAGCCGCAAACCACAAAGACATCGAACCAAAACCAAGCCGAACCACCTGGATCCAGGTTTGGGTGTTGGAGGGGAAAACTATACATGTGAGTATAGGGTACTCATCAAACTGAAGTTTATCTTATATTATATTCATGTCACATTCATATCATATTCAGATCCTATCTATATCACATCTATATCAGCATATACGGATATTATGCCGAAAAAGAGAGAGATAGACGGGGTGCACGTGTGTGTGTGTGTTTGTTAGGGATGCACAAATAAATGTAAAACCCACATGTGGAGAATTACCTTGTAGTATGTGCAAATGTCTCGTGAATGCATACTACACGCTTGGCTCATAAGAATGCCTCAGTAAGGCTAGCGGAACAGTGCGCAGCAGGTTAGCAAACCCCAGGACACGCGCTACCTCTCCCACAACAGATGCATCCAAAGGCATACCTGTCATTGCCATGCCGCCAAGTATGTGCTGGGGCAGGGGGCGAGCATCTTTGACTGCAGATCCAAGATCTTTATTTAAGCACCTTTGATCGCATGGAGATCGTGAAACACGCTACATCCAGATAAGTTGGGAACAAATGAAAGTTGCAACTGTATCATTGAATCATGGCAGTGTGGCATCCCGACATGGCTATGCTGAAGCGAGCAGCATATAAGTGGGAGGATGCCTGTATTCAAGCATGAGCCTCAAAGAATCCTAAAGGATCCTCAAACATCCTTGCAGAAGATCCCTAAGCAGCTCTTCAGTCTAACAGAACGAGAACGAGAACAACAACAACAACAACAACCAACAACAACAACCAACAACAACCAACAACCAACAACCAACAACCAACAACCAACAACCAACAACCAACAACAAACAACAAACAACAAACAACAAACAACAAACAACAAACAACAAACAACAAACAACAAACAACAAACAACCAACAACCAACAACCAACAACCAACAACCAACAACCAACAACAACAACAACAACACCAAACACCAAACACCAAACACCAAACACCAAACACCAAACACCAACCACCAACCACCAACCACCAACCACCAACCACCAACCACCAACCACCAACCACCAACCACCAACCACCAACCACCAACCAACAACCAACAACCAACAACCAACAACCAACAACCAACAACCACTTGAGAACAACCAACAACCAACAACCAACAACCACTTGAGAAGGGGTGACACGAAAGGTAGTTGTGTCAGACGTTATAACTCTGATTGTCGTTGTGATGTGACTCCAGCTTGGGTGGTTCATGAATCGTGGACGGGCATGAAACTGGACATTCATAGCTGAACGGAGATATCTGGATCCGAAAAGAGGGCACCCCACGATTGCCATGGTTGATCATCACTTAGTCTATTTAAAGAGCCATTTGGAGGTATATTGTCTGACACACGCATCGTGTGGGGAAAAAAACACGGTCAGTGTTAGCACCAACCCCAAAGTCGCTTTTGCGGTACCTATGGATGCTCGAACCTGTCACTTTCATCGCACCGTTGGGTACGGGGCAAATGGATGTCGAAAAAACCGAATTGCAAGTCGAATGATGATGATGATGATGATGATGATGACGATGATGCTGATGATGAGACACTGCGAAGGGGCTGCTGCGTGAAGAGACGCACAAGGCATGTGACGAGAGTTCACTTGGGGGGGGACATGGAACTGGACATTCAGAGCAGAGCGGAGATATCTGGATCCGAAAAGAGAGCACCCCACGATTGCCATGGTTGATCATCACTTAGTCCATTTAAATAGCCATTTGGAGGTATACATTGTCAGACACACGCATCGCTCGGGGAAAAAAACACGGTCAGTGTTAGCACAAACTCCAATGTCTCTTTTGCAGTACCTATGGATGCTCGAACCTGTCACTTTCATCGCACCGTTGGGTACGGGGCAAATGGATGTCGAAAAATCCGAATTGCAAGCCGAATGATGATGATGATGATGATGATGATGTTGATGATGATGATGGTGATGATGACGAGACACTGCGAAGGGGCTGCTGCGTGAAGAGACTCACCAGGCACATGGCGAGAGTTCCCTTTGAGGGGGGGGGGGCTCTGATTGTCGTTGTGATGTGACTCCAGCTTGGGTGGTTCATGAATCGTGGACGGGCATGAAACTGGACATTCATAGCTGAACGGAGATATCTGGATCCGAAAAGAGGGCACCCCACGATTGCCATGGTTGATCATCACTTAGTCTATTTAAAGAGCCATTTGGAGGTATATTGTCTGACACACGCATCGTGCGGGGGAAAAAAACGGTCAGTGTTAGCACCAACCCCAAAGTCGCTTTTGCGGTACCTATGGATGCTCGAACCTGTCACTTTCATCGCACCGTTGGGTACGGGGCAAATGGATGTCGAAAAATCCGAATTGCAAGCCGAATGATGATGATGATGATGATGATGACGATGATGCTGATGATGAGACACTGCGAAGGGGCTGCTGCGTGAAGAGACGCACAAGGCATGTGACGAGAGTTCACTTGGGGGGCATGGAACTGGACATTTAGAGCTGAGCGGAGATATCTGGATCCGAAAAGAGAGCACCCACGATTGCCATGGTTGATCATCACTTAGTCCATTTAAATAGCCATTTGGAGGTATACATTATCAGACACACGGTCAGTGTTAACACAAACTCCAATGTCTCTTTTTGCAGTACCTATGGATGCTCGAACCTGTCACTTTCATCGCACCGTTGGGTACTTGGAAAATGGATGTCGAAAAATCCGAATGTCAAGTCGAATGATGATGGTGATGAGGAGGAGGATGATGATGATGTTGATGATGATGGTGGTGATGACGAGACACTGCGAAGGGGCTGCTGCGTGAAGAGACTCACCAGGCATATGGCGAGAGTTCCCTTTGAGGGGGGGGGGGCTCTGATTGTCGTTGTGATGTGACTCCAGCTTGGGTGGTTCATGAATCGTGGACGGGCATGAAACTGGACATTCATAGCTGAACGGAGATATCTGGATCCGAAAAGAGGGCACCCCACGATTGCCATGGTTGATCATCACTTAGTCTATTTAAAGAGCCATTTGGAGGTATATTGTCTGACACACGCATCGTGCGGGGGGAAAAAAACGGTCAGTGTTAGCACCAACCCCAAAGTCGCTTTTGCGGTACCTATGGATGCTCGAACCTGTCACTTTCATCGCACCGTTGGGTACGGGGCAAATGGATGTCGAAAAATCCGAATTGCAAGCCGAATGATGATGATGATGATGATGATGACGATGATGCTGATGATGAGACACTGCGAAGGGGCTGCTGCGTGAAGAGACGCACAAGGCATGTGACGAGAGTTCACTTGGGGGGCATGGAACTGGACATTTAGAGCTGAGCGGAGATATCTGGATCCGAAAAGAGAGCACCCACGATTGCCATGGTTGATCATCACTTAGTCCATTTAAATAGCCATTTGGAGGTATACATTATCAGACACACGGTCAGTGTTAACACAAACTCCAATGTCTCTTTTTGCAGTACCTATGGATGCTCGAACCTGTCACTTTCATCGCACCGTTGGGTACTTGGAAAATGGATGTCGAAAAATCCGAATGTCAAGTCGAATGATGATGGTGATGAGGAGGAGGATGATGATGATGTTGATGATGATGGTGGTGATGACGAGACACTGCGAAGGGGCTGCTGCGTGAAGAGACTCACCAGGTCGTTTCTCCTGGTTGTTCAAGGATAGGGGGTCCAGCCCGCCCCTTTGCTTCGCGAAGTAAAACTCAAGGTAGCCCGCTAGGAGGCTACCTTTCGTGAACAACCAACAACCAACAACCAACAACCAACAACCAACAACCAACAACCAACAACCAACAACCAACAAGAACAAGAACAAGAACAACAACAACAACAACCAACAACAACAACAACAACAAGAACAACAACAACAACAACCAACAACAACAACAAACAACAACACAACGACAACAACAACAACATCAACAACAACAACCAACAACAACAACAACCAACAACAACAACAACCAACAACAACCAACAACAACCAACAACAACCAACAACAACAACATCACCAACAACCAACAACCAACAACCAACAACCAACAACAACAACACAACAACAACAACAACACAACAACAAACAACAAACAACAAACAACATAATAACAACGACAACAACAACAACAACAACAACAACAACAACAACAACAACAACAACAACAACCAACAACAACAACACACCAACAACAACAACAACCAACAACCAACACCAACAACCAACAACCAACACCAACAACAACAACAACAACAACAACAACAACAACAACAACAACAACAACAACAACAACCAACAACAACCAACAACAACAACAACCAACAACAACAACAACAACAACAACAACAACAACAACAACACACACAACAACACAACAAACACAACAAAACAACCAACAACCAACAACAACCAACAACCAACAACCAACAACCAACAACCAACAACCAACAACCAACAACCAACAACCAACAACCAACAACCAACAACAACAACAACAACACAACCACACCACAACCACAACCACAACCACAACGACAGCGACAACGACAACGACAACAAAAGGGCACCAGGTAAAAGAAAATGCAAGGGTTGGGAGAAGTAGCTAACGGCATCAGTTGCCCCTTTTAATGATGCATCAAACATGCCAGGCCGACATGCGCAGTGGCAGCTCTAGGACAAAGACCATGTTCAAACAAATGCGGAGTATGACCTCAGCAGCAAACAGTACTATGAATAAAGCTGTCGGTCCCTCTTGAAAGGCGCAGGTTCTGTAGACACTGTGTTGGGTCTCTGTTGGTTTTTGTTTGCGTTTGCGAGACTGATCGCATCCTCTCCCTCACTCAACACAGTTCAGTGTGGAATTATGCTCAGGAGCCACCAAGTCAGGACCAAGGAGCCCAAGGCGTTGGCAGAAACGCATCAAGCTTTGAGGACAGTAGTTGAACCTCTCCATAGGCACAGGGGAGCCATGCAGTTTCAAATCCATGCTTACGACCAATTGATTTTGCATCATGATTGCATCAATTCATCCCTTGAGATGATGGTCCATGATGGTCTATGCCAAGCCATGCATCTTGCTGAGATTTGTTGAGTACCCAATCCTCGAAGCCAACAAGAAGGGAACTGCTGAGAATTGCCAGCGCCAGGGTCATTTCCACCACATTGCTCCTCTCCATTGCCCGGATACGGCTGTGGCACATGCAAGCAGGTTCATCCCAACTCAACATGGGCTGTGTCAATGAAACAATGGTTGCTCATAATTAAATAAGATGAACAAATAATAATAATCATAATAACAATAATGTGATGGTAATAACAATAATAAGACTAATAAGAATCAGAATGATAATCAGAATAAAATAATCATGATAATACTACAATGATAATGTAATGATAATCATCAAAATAATTATCATAATAACAACAAAGCAAAGGTGACAATGGTAGCAGGTAGCAACAACAACAATAAGAATAATAGTAAACTAGCAACAATACCAATAAAAATGATAATTGGTGAGGAGACAATGATAATATATAATAACAATAACAACGATAACGATGATGGCAATCATAGTAATAATAATAATAACAAGTAATAAGACGTAATAAGATGTAATCAGAATAATAAGAATGTTATTATTAATCAGAGTAAGTAATAATAGATTTAGACTTTAGATAAACAAATACACGGACGATTTTTGGGCCTACAACTGTATCTTAACAGGGTGCCAGCCGAAGATCCGACTGGGACGGCCCATCCATCCAACCCTGTGGCCTAAGACACTGCTGCAAACGGGTCAATTTCTTCATCTTTTCGTGGCTCGCACCGGAGCTGCGAAAGCTTTTGGCGTACTCATGGTGCGCCAAATCTGCTGCCGGCCCGCGAGATAAGCGGCTGCCGCGCTTCTGCCAGTACCTCAGCAGCTAAACCGCAGATGAGACCGTGAAGCTGGTAGGATTTAGGTGGGGTTATGATCTTCTTAGGTTTCAGATGGTCTGGGAGTAAACTAAAAATTCAGTGGTATCATATGGTCCTGGTTTCATGCAGCCCATGATGTGGTCATACCACCCGAGAGCTTGGGATCCCCCACGAACTTTGCCCGCTGGACGTCACATCCACTGGTGGAGGTAGGCTGCAGTCCTGTCCGCAAGAAGGTTGGTGGGGATTCTGGCCAATGTCACAGGAGTCAACAAAAGGGAGACTTCAAACCAGTCCCTGCAACCGGCCCCACAAACCATCGCTTAAAAGATTGGAAGGATTACTACATATTTTGGCTGCCCATGTGTGAATCTATTTTTAGCCCGCTAGCGCACTCCATTTCCGTGAGCGCTTTGGAATACACTAAATAAAGATAAACAAAGTGCTCATCTTCACCCTCTTCACCCGAAGAGGGCCTCTTCCGTAGGTCCCTGCGATGGCAACGTATCCTTTGAGCCGGTGGGGGAGTCCCTGGCTGTCGCAGCATCCCTAGCGGTCGAGGCTGTCGCAGCCAGGCGACTCAGCAAGCTGGGAAAGGCCATGGTGGTGTCCACGCTCCGATCCATCTCCTGGGCCAAGCTGCCACAGACCCCCTGGCTGAAATCACTTGGAAATGATTCAATGGATTTGAAGTGGACCAGAGATTCAATGGATTTCAATGGATTTCAATGTTTTTTTTGGAAGCTGCCATGAAATCGGGGCCCAAAGAATGCCAAGACACATCAGCCTGTGCTTGACGTCGTGCCAGGGACCTTGGTGCACCCAATTCATCACAGGTTTGTTCTCAGCTATGACGACACCTCCCACACCAACCTGTGTCAATCCAGGTGCCACACTCAATCTTGATGGGCATATGTCTTGAGGCAATCAAAATTCAGCGGTGTGTGATGCGCTTTGACTCTTGTTCCTCTTAACCGCACCTTTCCACATTCTGTGAATGGCAAACAGTGGCCGAGGTTTACAGAGAAGATAGATAAAGAAACTTTATTGATGCTCTCAATGCTCTCAATGCAGAAGCTTGTCGTCAAGCAGCTCAGATTGCGTCGGCATCGATTGCATCGATGGTCCTGTGAGCGGAGAACCCATGGGATCCTAGAGGCCCCGCCCCGAGGAGTAAATCATTCAGCAGTATGTGGCAGCGTATTAACACCTTGTTCATGAAATGGTCACCTAGGGTTTTCCAAGAGTGTGTCAAACAATGCGAAATACTGTAAGCAAATTCTTAATTTGCCATGGGAGCATGACCTATAGTGATTAGCGCTTCCTTGCGTGGAAATCAACGCGAACCTAGTTGGTGATGGGGTTCCCAACCAAAATATGATATGATATGATACGATATGATATGATATGATATGATATATGATATATGATATTTGATATGATATATATATATATATGATATGGTATGGTATGATATGATATGATATGAATTGAATTGAATTGAATTGAATATGATATGTGTTGAATATGCTATGATATGATATGATATGATTTGATATGAATTGAATATGATGTGGTGAACTGTATGATATTTGTGTTGAATATGCTATGCTATGATATCAGTTATCACATGAGATGAGATATGTTCCTTTCTCCCTTTGTCCTATTTCTTAATCATATAATTTCATGTCATATCAGAATGTTCGAGTCATGTCCTATCCATCCATCCACCCCCCAAAAAAAAAAACTTTGGCATTCCACTTCTTCACTTACCTCAGTAACCATCAACTCATTAATCTCAGAATTCACGGGAAAGTTTGCAGCAAACCCTATATTTGATGGTAAAAACCTTGGGTTTCCAGCAAGAATTCTCTTCAGCCAGGTTTTCCCAGCCC